TCCCTATCTCACCCAGTATTGACAAAACACAAAACCTGAAACAAAACCAATAGTGGCTGCAACATAGGGAGTTTGTCTTAGGTTTTTTCCGGTCTTCGAGGTTTTGGAAGGCACCGTAGAGGAGCAATACCAACTCTTTACAATTGCGTGTAAAGTGGCATAATAAACCATGAAAGTGCTCTACCAACTCTTTAAAATCGCCTTTAAACTGGCATAATAAACATATTTGCACTACCAACTCTTTACAATCGCCTGTAAACTGGCATAATAAACATATTATTATAGCTCGGTCTGAGCAATCGCTAGTCTTTTATTTTTAGCATCAGAGAGCGCAGGTATGTTCCCCGCGTATATCGCCTTGTACAAACAGGCATAAAAGTAAACTACTGTAATTTATTTTTGAAGGCTTTGGCCCCCTGTTGAGATCCCAGAAATTGTGCTCACTGTTTAAACTGGGATTGATAGGAAGTATGGTAGAGCCGACGGTTGGGAATTCAGCATATAGTCTGTTCCACCCAGCCCCCGGAAACAAATTACGGTCAGCAGTTTAATTGGACTATAGTTTCTACAAGGTTCTCTACTCAGGAAGCGTGCACATGCCGACGGAAGCGTAAAAACTCGGAGTGTTATTAATTAACTTAACTTAAAAAACGAACCACAACTCATTATGGATCATGACACAGACCAAGCCTGTTTGATCCAGACACTGGGACGGGGACATGCTTGAACAGACGCTCACCAGGTTAACTGTAACAGTTACTTAATTTTCCTTCTCATTTTAGGTGTTTAAAGTAGTAAGACTCATACTGCTGGCTTTCCCTTAGCATTAACCGTTTTCATTCTGCATTTTCCAGAATCTCCTATGCTTATCCTGGACGTAAGGCCTCTTGCAGGCCGATAAAAAAGAGAATTCCATTGTTACGGAGGCCACCGTTTTAAACTATCAGCCGTAGGCCGAGAATCCTCAGTATGTGTCATCTGCCAGCAATTAGTATGTGAATGAGTAGAGCAATCGGCTAAAAGCTCTGACCACGCATATTTACGTTTTAATTACTTTGGGAACTATGAGTGACCTTGAAATCCCTCATTTTTGGTTTGCCTTACGATCACATTGCGAGAATGGGTGGTGCGCTTCGTAAACAACGGCATAAAAAGCACTCCGTAACGTCTAACGGGGAGTCGGCTAAATATTCTTGGTAGGTAAATACAAAAATTTAATTTAAACAGGGACAAACGTAAATCAGAAAATCCCGATGATTACTGCATCGGGAACAAGACTTCCGGTGTTTTTGTTAAAGGGCCGGGAACAATAAAAGGCCAACTGTTTCGTGTACGCAACTGTCAGGTAATTAAATGTAAAATGGACAAATGAACTGAAGAACGCTTTTATCTATCTCCTTGACCACATTAATACGCTTTTTATCGATGAATGTAAGAACTGCTCAATCATCGCTGGTCCCGTGCAAACAAGGTTTGTAAACTAAGTTCTTTCATCGCTTTAGTCTGTTTGTGAGAAAATGTACCAATTGTAATATTCTGGCCAGTTGCCAGCAATATCGAATGCGTGATTGTAACTCGGTGACTACCTTTTTGGCCTGTACATCTGCTCCCATCATCGAATCCAGTTCTGAACTGAAATTTGCACCTTATCAATTATCTTACCCGGAACTGAAAGGTGTTTTGATCGTTCCTTTGGTGATTTGATTTTTGTGTCCTTTTTGTAAGCCGGACTATCCTACTTATTGATTCACCATCTCGGGTGCACTCACCCAAAAATGGCTTAATATAAAATTCTAACCACTATAAAATGTAATGTAGTTGGTTAAGTTAAAAAGAAATTTAAGTATTCAGTTGTTGAAGTAATTTGTCTCTTTCCCTGATCTTCTGTAAAGACTGATGCTTGAATTTAGTAATTAAGAGTGTTTAGTAAATATCCATCAAGTGAACTAAGAGGCGATAACAGTAAGACTACATAGTGGAAAAGTGTATACACCAGGTGCGTGGAAGGTAGTTAAGTAAACTCTTGTAGCTATAAATGGACATGAAATGTGACCACTTTATGTTCTGACTGCATGCAGAAGAGAGTGGAACAATTTGCAACCTTTTAAGGCTTATTTAATATGTTTAATACTCTCTGGATCGACTAGGCCAGCGTATCGTTTGTGTATACTGCGCGCAGCTGGGCGTGATCGGACTGAGAGGAAAGATTTGTCCGAATTGTCATTCTTTTGTAATACTTTGTACTTTTCAGTTTCATCATACCAATAAGGGCCACTGAAGTTTTGTAGAAGTTGCGTAATTGCTGGATATGGAATGAAATTAGTGTACGAGTAGCTTAAGGAGGTGTCTCGGATCTGATAACCGAATTTTCGGTACTATTCCCGAAAGTCATATAAAACGCCTGTCTTATTCCTTTATATTCTGGAAGCGTCTTTGAATAAAGCTGCTTTTTGCATATTTTTTCGACAAACTTCAGAATTTGTTTGAGGACTTCATTGATTCATTACCGTGGAGTCAGCTCATCTCCGGGCTGTATGTATTTCAAATGTTATATTTAAGTAAAAATTGTTGATTTTTAAGCCGGACTTTTTTTTATTGAAATGCAAAATTTAGTTTCTTTACTCAAACCTTACTTAGGTAAAGTTTTTTTGACAAATTAGGCCTTGAACTTGTTCTTTTCGGTATTTAGCCGCTAAACCTTAATAAACCAATACTTCGCCGTAGTCTCCACAATTTTTTATTACATGATTTCCGAACCCATTTAAGTCTGCAAGTATTTTTTCTGATGTTCAATTGAGCCAGAATGGCAGCAAGATGGTGTGAAGGATCACTAAATGAGGGGATTTTTAGGCGTGTGTTCGAAATTAATGTCGGTTTGGTCGGGTTGAGTATCGCAAAGTCTACAGATAAAGGAGGAATTCAAATTTCACTTATATTTATTGCATATTCTTTCCAGAAGGTTAGAATCATTTTCTGATTTACCGAATTTTTTCAAAGTCTGTTTGCCTGCTTACTTCCAAAACTAACTGGCCTTGCAGTCCCAGCGGAGGTGTCTTATTGAGTTGTATACTGCCTTTACAACTTTCACTCCACTGCAGCATTTCCGATACATTCGTGGCAGTCCGTGATTTCTGAGTTTTTCTTAGCTGGACGGCGGTCTCATTATTTACGTGCGTGACCCATAAACAGAATTGTGCGTGTTCCTAAGCCCTTTTACTATTTCGTTTTAAAATTTGAACTTTCATAGTGTTACTTATTCATATATCTAACTGTATCCCATTTGCTTTTTTGCTCTTTGATTCCCTTTTATTATTTTTATCTTTAACTCCAGAAATTAATTTTACAAATTTCATTTCTAAAATAGGTGAACTAATAGGGCTTTTGTTTTTTGCAATTTATACTTCGTCTTGGTACCGATAACTATATTTTCAGAATTTTGTGTTAAAAAATGCGTACCTGAAGGCAAACTTCAACGATTTATCATTGGTACAGCTTTGCTCGTTCCTAATCCAGCCGACCTAAACTGTGTCGCTCCTAGTATGTTTTTTTAGTTTGTACGCTTCGTGTAAGCAGCTCAGTCTCTTTTCTTTTTGCTTGGTTCTTCTGAGCCTGCACTTCGTCTTCTCAAGTTAGGCTATCAGACTATCTAGTGCAGAGCCACTGAGGCTTGACTCGCTGATTACCCTATTAAATAGATCAGGCTCATGTCACCTTTAGATCGTAGACCGTCACTAATTGGGTTCACTTATGTGGGCGGTTCATGGAGACTCACGTAAAACAAAGTCGTTTCAGGTATCTCACGAAATCAATTGACAGGAAAACTGTTGTAAATAGCTAATTTGGGCAACTACGTAGTTCACGTCAGATTTTGCCTCTTATCAAGAAGGATGGTTTGATTTTGGTTTCGAGAAGAAAAAACGTATATAAGTAACGAACTTAATCTCTTATTTATCCTCTTCGAGCCT